GATAGCATAACCAGATAGCGTATATATAGCACACCGATAGCAATTAGATAGCATTAATTGACAACAGTGTCGCATTTCTGTCGTTATGACACATGATGACAAATTCGTAAACCATTTGTCACTCGAATGACGACGAACTCGTAAACCAATCGTCACTCGAATAATGATGCATATATGTCGCCGTCGTCATTTGTCATTGATCACTAATATCTTTGATGACGCAAGCGTGAATCAGTCGTCACTCAAATAAGAGAGCAAATACTAATATATCTCTGATGACGCAAGCACGAATCATTCGTCACTCGAATGATGACGCAAGCGTAAATCGTTCGGCACTCTCATGATGGAGCGAATACTAACATATCTCTGACGACGCAAGCGCGAATCAGTCGTCACTCGAATGACGACAGACATATGATCCCGTCATCAGACATAACCCAGATTAAGTGGAAATAACATAATTATGTTATTTCCACTCACCTCAACTTTAGAATCAAGGTATAATTGAACAAGAGTTCCCTGAAGAAAATACTTATTAACAAACCTATTATCTTGAATTTCCAAATCTAAGCAACTCTACTAGACTCCGTTATAATCTCCCTTATTCTACTGAATTACAAGTTGTTAATATTGTTTATACAAATTATCAACTAAATAATTTAAATCTCTATGAACAAGAATTTAACAATAATATTACCTCTTCTGATGGATAAAAGAATTAGTAAAATTTCAACAACAAAAAGATTTTAATATTTATTTAGATTAAAGCATTGAATGACTGATAATTTTGATTTATTTCGACAAAGAAGATAGCTTTCACAACGAATATATATTAAATCCTGACACTTTTGAATATTTAAATCAACACCTTCCTGACTTTTCTTGTACTATTTGTTATCCTGTAAATACAGAAAGAGATTATTCTTTTATTAATTTTTGGTCTTGGTTTTCTGCAGAATTTCTTGTTGTTCGATATTCTGATTACACTATCTTAGCTTTTCAAGATATTATCACATATAATATTAATAATTTACCTTTAAAATGTTTTGAAAACCTTACTTTTACTATTCAATATCAACAAAGTTTAACTCCTTTAGTATTTAATTCTTTACCTATTCAAATCTATACTGCTTATCTTCGAACAAATCGATTTACTTTTGATCCCTTTTTAATTCTTTATAACCATAGTGAAGTAGAATCTGAAATTTCCAAAACTTCTGATTTATCTGAATTTGATTTAGAACAATTATATCAAACTTCTGTACCTTCTCTTCCTATTACTCCACCTTAATTACCTCCAAATAATAATAATATAACATTACAAGCACAAGATATTAATAATTTAATTAATGCTATTCAAGCATTAGATAACTGAATTCAAAATCAAACAAATGCTGTTGCTAATAATACTAATCGTCTTGGACAAAGAGAAACTAAACTCATCAAAATTATACCTTTTGCTGGTGGTAACCAAGATCCAGTTACTTGGATTGAGGAATTTGAACGAATGGCTGTAGCTAACAACTTTACTGATGCAAGAAGACTACAAATTATTCCTGCTTATCTTAAAAATGAAGCAGCAATTTGGTATACTAATGTCTATCAACAACAAGCTTTTGGACACTAAGATACACAAAATCAAGTTAATAGTTTTAAACCTCGCTTCCTTACCCGATTCTGAACTCCTGTTCTTATTGACATTTGGGCTGCTGAACTAACTCACTGCATACAAGGACCAACTGAAACTGTAGACCAATATGCTATGCGTCTACATGAATTATATCGTCGATTAGAAATGAATGCCAATGTTTATCCAGAAATAGAAAAAGTTCGTAAATTTACTACTAGTTTAAGAACAGAATTACAAATGGCAGTACATCCATTTGGTGAAAATACTTGGGATGGAGTAGTTAACAGAGCAAAAACTTGTGAACTTACTCGTTATGGTGCTGCAATATATATTACACCTAATCTTAACAATAATATTGTTACTCCAACTTCTACATCTTCTAATTCTGTTGAAACTATAATGGAAGCTCTTACTAAATGTATAGAAAACCTTGAAAAAAAAATTGAAAAAAAATTAGAAAACAACAACCGTCCTAGAAGAAACAACCAAAACAATAATAATAACAATAACAACAACAATAATAATCAAAGAGGACCTGTTTGCTTTAATTATTTCCAACCTGGACATATTGCCTGAGATTGTCTTAACCCAAGAAATAATAACAACCAACAAAATAACCCTCCAACAAATAATAATAATCAACCTAGAAATAAGCAACCCAAAAACAACAATCGCCCAAACCCTGTTCAAAATAATAACAATCAATCACAAAATAATAATAATAATAATAATAATAATCCTAATCAACTCACACAACAATTAGCCACTCTTTTACAACATTTAAACTTGAATCAGCATCAGTGAACACAGAAGGTCCTGATGCTTTCCAAGACAATACAAACCCTTCTATGATGTATTTAAAGGAAGATGATAAAAATATTAATGAAGCCTATGTAGGAAAAAGAAGAAAAGTAGTAGAAAAAAATGAAACTCCAGAAGTTCAAAATATTGTAGTAAATGATTCTCAAGCAGAAAATTCTAAAACTCCTAAAGCTAAAAAGAAAAAAATTTCTCTACAAGGTCCAAGATTTCATAAACCAACGATTGGTAAAGATGTATCAAAATACTCTATTGTTGAAGACTTACAACAAATCAAAGCAAATATCTCTATTGCTCAACTTGCTGCTGAAAATCCCAAATATTTAAGAGAATTAAGTAGAAGCCTTCAAAGAAAAAGATTAAATTTGCTCCAGAACCTATGGTCACTGCCCAATATGCAGATGATGGAAAATTTAGAACTACAGCATTATATTGTCAAGCCAATATTAATAGAGTTACTACCAATATTATCCTTGATAGTGGTTCTGCTTGAAGTATTATCTCTAATCATTTTCTCAAATGTATTGGCTTAAAAATTACAAAACCATCAACAACTTTAATGCTAAATATAAATGGTGAAAAGAGAAGACCTCTTAAAGAAGTAGAAAATCTACCTATTAAAATTGGTGAATACTCCTTACCAATTGATGTAGTAGTTGCAGATACTGACATATATTCTGTAATTGTTAGTAATGACTGGCTATCCAAAGCCAAAGCAAAAATTAACTGGGAAAAATCAGTAATGAAAATTAAAAATAAAAATGTAAAAATTCAAGTTCCTATTAAATTTAGACATGTTACAGGAATCCCAAGAGTTGAAGCTATATCTAAAAGAAAAACAAAAGAAGAAAGCTCTGATGAAAGTGAAAGTAAATATGAATCCTCAAGTGAATCTGATGAATCTACTGAATATGAAGATAAACAACTTGAAGAAAGAATCTATACTCTTAATCTTTGGCAAGAAATGAAAAAAGAAAACTTAAAGCAAATGTGCCCATATTGTCATACAAAAACTAATGAAGAATGGAATGAAATCTAAGAAATCTTACCAACATTCTATGAAGATAAAATAGAAGATTCTTTTGATCCTCCTTCTAAACTTAATGTTGAAGAATTGGATAAAAAACAATAAGAAGAATTTTATGACCTTGTTAATGAATATATTGATATCTTCGCTCAAAATGATTCTGATCTAGGAAGAACAAATGAAATCCAACATGAAATTGAAGTTGAAAATGATAAACCTATAAAACAACAATTTTATTGAGCTTCACCTAAAGAATAAGATTTTATTAAAGAAGAAATCCAAAGAATGTTAAAACTAGATCTTGTCCAGCCTTCTAAAAGTCCTTGGGCCTCTCCATTTGTTGTCGTTAAAAAGAAAAATGGATAACTACGTTTTTGCGTAGATTATAGAAAATTAAATGCAGTAACTAAAAAGGATAGTTATCCTTTATCAAGAATTGATGAACTTTTAGATATATTACAAGGATCTGGATGGTTCACTTCTCTAGATCTAGCAAGTGGTTACTGGCAAGTAGCCATGGCTCCCCAAGATGTATCCAAAACTGCATTTACTACTCGACATGGACTATATAAATTCATAGTAATGCCTTTCAGATTAACTAATGCCCCAGCCACATTTCAACGTTTAATGAATAATATATTACAAGAACATCTTTGGAAGTTTGTTGTAGTATACCTTGATGATATCAATATCTTCTCAAAAACTTTTGATGAACATATCCAACATCTTCGTCTTGTATTTAAATATATTAGAAAAGCAAACCTTAAACTCCAACCTGAAAAATGCTTTTTTATCAAACAAGAACTAGCATTTTTAGGATATATAATTAGTAAAAATGGAGTCTTGCCCGATCCAGCAAAAATAGAAAAGGTCAAAAATTATCCTGTTCCTAAAACTATTACCTAAATACGAGCTTTTCTTGGACTTGCTTCTTATTATAGAAGATTTATAGCCAATTTTTCAAAAATAGCAGCCCCAATGAACCAACTGCTTAAGAAAAATATTAAACTAGAATGGAAAGAAGAACAACAAAAAGCAT